ATACCACGTGATCTCACTTATATGTGGAATATAATAAACAAAATAAACTGATGAACAAAATGGATCCAGAGACATTGAAGCATGGAACAGACTGAGGGATCTCAGAGGGAAGGTGGGGAGGCAGAGATTAATCAAAGAACTTGTATGTTTGTAAGCATAACCCATGGACACAGACATTGCTATGGGGAAAGCCTAGGGGTGGGATGGATGAGGGGATAAAAAGGGGACATCTGTAATGTTTTCAACAATAAAGAAACTTAAATAATTAATTTTTTTAAAAGTAACTCTTTTTTTTGCCTATTTGTTATAGGAAACGAGATTATGAAGGCTATTTATGCTCCCTGCTGCTTCCTACAGAATCCAGAAGCTCTGCTTTTGCACTGAGAGCGTTCAATGTGGAACTGGCTCAGGCTGGTATTAAAATTCCTTAAAAATTATTTGCAGAAACAGTGATATACTGTGTTTAATGCTGAACAATAAAGAAATACAATTGTAATTTACATGTCAGATGTGTTTAAGGACTCTGTTGGTGATTTTTTTTTCTATTCAAGCTTAATTCAATTTCAAAAATAAAACTAGCTAATGAACTTACTGTTTCTGGAAATACCATTTGGAATTTTTTTCTTTTTCTAAGGATATTATAAAACTATGCAGTTAACATCACACATTTGTCTGTTAATTGGATAGGTTAATCTGAGTATTACTGTTAAACTTCTCCAACATTTGCATATAGCAGTTTTTTAAAAATAATTTTTAATTTTTTAAATTATAGTTGGCATACAATATTATATTAATTTCAGGTGTACAACATAGTGATGAGACATTTATATAACTTACAAAATGATCACCTTGTTAAATCTAGTACCCATCTGACACCATACAGAGTTATTGCAATATTATTGACTGTATTCCCTAAGCAGTGGGAGGAGTTGACCCTCAGGCTGATTGGTTGTGAAGACAGATCTTGACTACTGGGGAGGAACTGTTGTGCAGGGGCTGACCCTAAGGAGTACAGTTTGCTTTAGCAGGGCTCTGGTGCCTGCCAAGTCTGCTCTTTGAATGTGTCATTTGTGGAGGTTGTTGGGTGGTGCTCTGATGTGGCCTAAAGTTGGCCACTGCAATGTGCTCATTCTGGGGCCTCTTGGGAGGTTCAGGCTAAGGTCAGCCACTGCCTGTGCCCTGGCTGGGGCCACTTGTGATCTGCAGGTAGTTGCCACTTGTGTTGGGCATTGAGGTGCCTGGGGGAGGCTAAGCTGCAAACTGAGGCCGGCTGCCACTATTGCTGGGCTAGGGGCTGCTCAACAAGAGGTATGGGGTGTGCTGAGGCCAGATGCTGCTTGTTTGGGGTTTGTGAACCCTTGAGAGATTTTAAGACGGTCTGCAGCACAAGCCAAAACGGCCATTTGAATGGAAAAGCCACTGGAAGCTGCCTGAGTGGGCTGAAAAGTTCGCCAGGTCTCAGGGAATCACCAGGACAGGGCAAATAGTGTTAGATTGATGGAGACTCAGATATTGTGCCTGCAGTCGTTGGGCTCAGCAAAGAAACAATCACTTCTGCCAGCACTTCAGTGTGGGAGAAAGCTGCCCTTCTAGCCCTCATCCTAAAGCCAGACAGTTCAGTTCCTCCCCATATGCCCCTGGTGCTTTTCCAACTTTGTCCCAGAGCTGGAGCTCAGCGATAGTATGTGGGTTAAAAGGAGTGCTTAGAACTCCAGCCACCCTTCATCTCACTCAGCTACAATCCCTGCTGGGTTTTACAGCCAGAAGTTATGGGGACTTTTCCAGTATTGTCAAATCACCCAATAATGTCCTTTATGGCATTTTTCAATAGTCAAGACATGGAAACAATCTAAGTATCCATTGGTGGAAAAATGGATAAAGAAAAAAAATTCTATGTGATACACATACACACACACACACACACACACACACACATACACATACTTTGGAATATTATTCAGCCATAAAAAAAGGAAATCCTGCCATTTACAACAACATGGATCACCCTTGAGGGCATTATGCTAAGTCAAATAAGTTAGACAGAGAAAGTCAAATACTGTACGATCTCACTTATATATGGAATCTAAGACAAAACAGAACAAAGCCTCCAAACTCATAGATACAGAGACCAGGTTGGTGGTTCTAAGCGGCCGGGATGGGACATGGGTGAAATGTGCTCAAATGGTACAAACTTTGTTATGAATGAATAAGTCCTGGGGATGTACAGCATGGTGACTATAGTTAATAATACTGTACTGTATATTGAAAGTTATTAAGAGAGTAGATCTTAAAAGTTCTCATCACAAGAAAAGAAAGTTTGTAACTATATGTGATATGGATGTTAACTACACTTATTGTGGTGATTATTTCACAATATATACATATATCAAATCATGAATACCTGAAGCTAAGGTACTGTTAAATATTCACCCCCTAGATTTAGCATGCATTGGTGCTTCTGCCTGAAGCTGACAAGGCGATTCTTAATTAGTAGTGAGTGAAGGAGACTGTCTAATAATCTTTTTAAATACTTAGTGAATGAATGAGTTTATTTAAAATGGACATACAGTACTACTTACTTTTTGTGGTGTACAGTTCTATAGGTTTTGAAAAATGCATAGAGTCATGTACTCACCACCATAGTCATGAGACAGAACAATTCCAGCAACCAAAAAATTCTCATGTGCCCCTTTGTAGTCAGCCTCACCCCTCACCCATACTTTTTTGCATATCCTTCCGATTCCAGGTTATTTTTATGTACATCTCATTTTTAAGTACACTTTGCCATCTGTAAACATTTCAGTATGTATTGCTAAAAGATAACTCACTTAAAATAACCATAAAGCCATTATCATACCTTAAAAATTTAGTAGTAATTTCTTAATGTCATTATACATCCGGTGTTCGGATTTTCCAGTTGTCCCTTTTCAAATCAGGATTAAAATAAGGTTCACATGTAAAGACTGGTTGATCGGCACTTAAATTACTTTAAACCAAACATTCCCATCCTTCTTGTCTTTTCTTAATTTGTTTTCTAGAGTCTCTCCTATATTCGAAAATATTTTTGAATAAGCACCAAGTAATTTGCAGCTTTGACTTAGGAAACTCATAATGACAACAGTTTAACTTCAACGAAAAATTTAAACAAATGTTTAGAATTAAACTTAGTTTTTGGCTGAATTATGTGATTATGCAGTCACAAATAATTGATTTTTGAGACTGTAAACAGTGTGTTTATTAAAGCTTTTAAATCCTATTTGTAGATTAAGGATTCAGTTTCTGAGAAAACAATTGGACTCATGCGAATGCAGTTTTGGAAAAAGACCGTAGATGACATATACAGTGACAATCCACCACATCAGCCTGTGGCCATCGAACTATGGAAGGTAAAAAAAATGGCTACTTTAATTTGTAAGAATTTTATTTGAGCACACTTTTTGATGCATACAATTTGGATAATATTCTTGGGCTCATGTAATGTTCAGATATATGTTCGTTTGGACCAAGGAATTTAAAGTTATCCACTAATAATTGGCACAGATCTTCAATGTATTTATTAAAGGAAAGAGGAGGGACCTACACTCTTTTTATTATAAATTATTTCCCACATGATTGGTTGCAGAATTTAAAGCAGCAGGTAATTTTCCTGTTCTACCTGTGACAGGAGATGCGCACTCAGTATTGTCCAAACACAAATCTAAAACCGCCTTTCTAGTTTCATAGACTTGCCTATTCGTTGGTGAATTTTAGGCATTAGAGAATAGAAACCTACGAGCAAGAGTATTATTTGTACAGCTACATGTATGTAGTAGTTAGTTTTACATTAAAGCAGCTACATGGAACCCTCATTCATAAACAGCTATGCACAGTTTAGAAATATGCTGAATATGCTGCTAAGTTATGAACAGAGGAAGGGAATTAGTTGCCTTTTGTCACTGATCTGTGTCCCCGCCGTAATATGATGAGCTCCAAAAGACAGTTTCTGTAACAGAAGCCACTCAGACCTGACAGTGGTACACCTCTTCTCAGGGCTGTGCACCAGCAGAGGCAGACCCCGTTTCTGGCCCCAGATTGACTTCACAGAGCCCCAGTAAGGATGGAAAGCCAGGCCCCTCCTCCGGGGACTGAGAAGAAAAAGTGGATGGGAAGCTGTGAGTATTAGATTAGTTATTTACCTCTGTTCATCCCACTTCAATAACTTCAACCTAGGTGACTCAGTTTAGAGAAAATCTCTCTAAAACCCAGAAACTCTCTCTGTTTATTATCTTACACACCAGCCTGACTGCAGTAGAGGTTTATGCTAAGACTTGCACTGGAAGTTCTGGCCTTTGTCAGGAAATAGCATCAAGATCCAAGAGTCTTTTAACACAAGTTCATCTTGCTTTGGACTTTCTTAAAAAAAACAGAAGAAACATTTGAGTTACAGAATGTTTATATGTGTGCCAGTTTGTTCAATTTTATAATAGCTGCTTAAATTCTGATGATTAGTGTTGGCCAGCTTTTTGACATGACCGGTGCTGAAGGTTAATACGAATATTTGAAAGAAGCAGGTAGAGTTCAGAGTATTTGCCTTTGTTGTATGTTTTTTACCCCTCCTCATTCTCAGGCGCATGTGCTTATTTTACCACTGCCCAGTAAAACTTTCCATGGGTTCTGTGAAGAGTGTCAGGTTCTTTAGAAGATCAGTAGGGAAACAGTGACTGTGGTGTCCAGAGAGCATGTTCCTGCTGCATTCTTTCATGGGTACTTTAGTGTACAAAATAGTGGAGTATCTATAATTCCTCAGACATTTCATATAGGTTTCCCCATTTCTCTGTTTATTAATTTTACAGTTTAAATTTATGTTTCTAGCCAAGATTTTTATTTTTTGATTTCTGTTTTCAAAGTTTTAATGCATTTATTCAGCTGGTTTTCAGCTTCTTACAAATCCTCATTTTTTATCTTGATCTCTGATTTCCGTCAGAATGAGACAACTGTATTTTGTGGTCCTGGAATTGCAGCCGTTACAACTTCATCCTTGAGTTAATAGAAGCATGACTTCTCCATGGTTAAATGTTTGTTGAGTACTTATAAAAGTATTCAACGAGCATAAGCTCCAGGAACGGTGTTTAATGATATGGTTACAAAGACCAAACGTACCTTGCCCCACTCAGACATGTACAAAGTAAGACAAGAGCAGGACTCTGTAAGGACTGAGGAATCCCCGGCTGCTTCCTGGGGCTGGGGAGAGGCTTGTAGGGAGTTCTGCTGTGTAACAGGAGTGGTGCTGAGGGAACTTGGGAGCCAACTTTGTGTAGCCCTTTTACCTTCCTTGAGGTTTCTGCCAGGCAGGGTGGGCTCTGGTCTCCACCCTGTCACCCCTCCTCACATAAATGTGTGCTGATGAGCATGCTAGCTGGCCTTTACATTTATCGTCAATGGCATCTTAGAGTTTTAGTTGAAGTAGAGGATATTCCTAAGACTTTATGTTTTACTACTATTACTATTGTGAAAATACATCATACTTAGTGTTGATCTGGCAAGAAAACAATGTTTTTAAAACTTATAAAACTTTCAGAAAGATTTCAAAATTAAAAATAGTAAAATAAAAACACCTCTAGGGTGGGGGTGGGGAGAGATTAACCAAAGAATTTCTATGCATATATGCATAACTCATGGACACAGACAAGAGTGTGGTGAAGGCCTGGGGGCGGCCAGAGGGGTGGAGGGGATCAATGGGGGGGGAAAAGGGAGACATTATACTTTCAACAATAAAGATAAATTTAAAAAAACAAAACACCTCTATACCCTTTACCCAGACTAACCTATTGTTAACATATTATTCCATTTGTTAATCATTTGTACTGCTTACTCCTGTGGGTGCCTAGGCTTGTTCTCTCTCTTTTTTTCTCTCTCTCTCTCTCTTTGTATTTTCATACTCTTAATTTTTTTCTGAATCATTTTTGAGTGTAAGTTATATACAGCATAGCCCTTTATCCCTAAATCCTGTAGTGAGTATTTCCTAAGAATAGGGACATTCTGTTATATAACCAGAACAGTTATTGACTTTAGCAAATTTAACTTTGATATAACACTTTTTATCTAATTTTCTATTTATATTCCAGTTTTGTCAGTTGACCCAGTAATGTCCACTGTAGTGTTTTTTACCCCCTCCAGTATAGGATCCAGTCGAGGGCCAGGTAGTATTTGTCATATCTCCTAGCCTACTTTAATCTGTAGCATTTCCATGGCCTTTCTTTGTCTTCTGTGGCATTGACATTTCTGAGGAGTATAGCCCTTCCAGTTTTGGGGTTTTTTTATAGAACATTTTTTATTTTGGGTTCATCTGATGTTTTCTCATGATCACTTCAGGTTGTGCATTCCTGGCCATAATACTGCATAGACAGTGTCTTCTTCTTAGGTACCATCCTGGAGGCACGTTCTGTGCATCTGCTCTCCATTGGCATTGTTAACTTTCACCGTCCAGTTAGTGTGCTGCCTGGTTTTCCCACTGTATAATCATAACTCCCCTGGCAACTGTAAGACAGTGCAAATACCCTACTCCTCATTAATGTCCCCTGAAACTTAGCATTCACTAATGGTTCTTGTCTGATTCTGTGTTTACTGTTACGATTGCAAAATGCTCACTTTCCAGTTCTGATACTCTCCACATTTACCACTTGGCAGCAGACACGACCTCCCACTCTCCTAGATTTATTTATTTGTCCATTAATTATTGTTATGCACTCATGAATTCCTATTTTTCCCCAGTAGTGTATAGTTGATTACTATACTTAATTATTTTGGTGTGCATATAGTCCAAGATTTGGACAATGGGAGCCCTTTCAAACTGACTCCTGTGTCCTTATGACATGTCTCCCATAATTTTTTGAGTGCTTTTTATTTTCTGGCACAATAAAATATTATAGGGCCATATTAAATCTCCCTTGCTCCAACTCTAGAGATCACTCATTTCTCTAGAGCCCTGTTTCTTTGGGAGAAATGCTTTTAGACACTAAGATCTGGGCACCAGGTGTGCTCTTTCCTACTAGAGTGTCTTTACTTGCTAAAATAATACTGTGCCTTGCAGATTATTTTCTTTGGAGTTTTAGTTACTCTTTTCTTTTTGGATAGTGATTGTTTTCATTAATTAGAATCTTTATCCTATGGAAAGAAGTTTGTGTGTAATTAAGCATAGAAGTCAGGGTGCATCATATAACAGAAGCTTGGTATTTCATTCTTGTTTTGAATGTCGAGTCATTAAATTACTAATAATATAAGAAAAAAGAGTAGTGGAAAAATGTGAGATATACTATCTTTACTTGGAAATGTTTTCTAGGTACATTTCCTTTTCCCTGGCGTTTCTTTAACAGCTGTCCACCTGGTGATGAGTTATTACAAACGTTTCCTTACCTAGTTTATATTTGGTTTGTTTATTTTTATTTAGGCCTGCAGAAGTAATTTTTTGTACTTTATAAAAATGTATAATACTCTTGCTTTTTTTTAGGCTGTCAAAAGACATCATCTGACTAAAAGGTGGCTTATGAAAATCATTGATGAAAGAGTAAGTTGAAATTGCTCAAGCCTTAAGTTTTCCTTCGTTGTTAATCTTTAAACTAATTTTTCATCAAATTGAGTTGTTGTACACATACCTTTATGTACACCCAGTACTTGGGTCTCTGTCCAGATAGTAGTGGGAATGAGGAAAGCCTGGTGGTTCTAGTGAGTGGAATCCTGTACTGAGTTCTTAGAACTGAGTTCTGTTCCAGTTCTAGCCAAGCATGCAGGCTGCTCAGTGACCGGGGCTAACCCGTGTCATCTTCCTGACATTGCTGGCTCAGTGTCCTCCTTGGCCGGATATTTATAATGCACTGTTGTCATGAAAATGTAAGTTTACTTAACTCTATGTGGATAAAATCTATTAATAACCATAAGCTGTAGTAATAATAATATAAGCAAAATGAGACTATGGCTTCAATCTTAAGAAAAATTGCTTAGTTAACATATAAAGTTATTTAGCACTAAGAAAATCTATTTTTGAGATGTCTCCTGGTTTTATGACGTAAAGAAAATTGGAGAACTTCAGACAGATAACTTTTCTGTTTAATGGAAAATAACACTTGGCATTTGTAGGGAGGGCTATTTAAAAGTAAAGGACTGGGATCAATCTCCCCTCATTGATCTATAGATTCAATGCAATGCCTGTAAAAATTCCAACTGCCTTTTTTTCAGAAATTGACAAGCTGCTCCTAAAATTCTAATGGAAATGCAAGGGACCCAGAATCACCAAAACAATCTTAGAACAAAGTTGGAGGGCTCATATTTCTTGAGCCCTCATAAAACTTAACTACAAAGTTACAGGAATCAAACTGTGTGGTATTGACATAGCATAGACATATAGATCAATAGAACAGAATTGAGAGTCCAACAATAAACCCATATATTTATAGTCAATTGATTTTTGACAAGGGTGTGAAGATAATTCAATGGGGAAAGAATAGCCCTTTCAATAAATGTTGCTGGGACAACTGGATAGCCACATGCAAAAGAATGAATTTGGACTCCTACCTCACACCATATACAAAAACTTACTCAAAATGGATCAAAAACCTAAACGTAAGACTTAAAATTGTAAAACACTTAGGAGAATGCATAGGCATGAATTTTTGTGACTTTAGGATGAGCAGTGATTTCTCAGATATGATGACAAAAGCACAAATAATAAGAAAGTATATAATTGGACTTCATCAAAATTTAAAAATTTAAGAAAGTTAAAAGACAACCCATAGAATGGGAAAAAGTATTTGCCAGTTATATATTTGATAAGGGACTAGTATCTAGAATATGTAAAGAACTCTAAAGAATTCTGTCTCCACCATTTATTAGCTGTGTGACCTTAGGAATATTACTTAATGTGTCTGTGACTCAGTTTTTTCATCTGCAAAATTTTAATCTTACTGTGTACTAAACAATATATACTTAATATTTTTATTCAGTTCTTTTGGGCAAAAAATTGTGTCTTTTCTTTATAAATTTTTATAATTCAGCCAACTTTATTTACCTTTTGTTTGACTATAGGAAAAAAATTTGGATGACAAAGCGTATCGTAATATCCAGGAACTGGAAAATTATGCCGAAAACACACAGAGTTCTCTTCTTTATTTAACACTAGAAATATTGGGTAAGGTTTTTTTTTTTCCCCCCTATTTCATACTTCTCTATTTTTGATAAAACACCTTTAAAAAATTTTTTATTTTTATTTTTTTGAGCAAGAAGGGAAATATATGTCTTCTTTGGAGTGCGGACTAATTACAATACTTAGGCTCTAATATAAGTACTTTAGCTGCTTCATGGGAATGTTTTAGTTAATAATCTGGTAATTGCTGGTGATTTTATTTTTTAAGTGTCTCCTACAAATTGGAAGGCTTGTAGCTTTACTCTTCCTTCCCTGTCAGTAGTACTTCCCACGTTAAAAAAATAGAAGAAATAAATCTGCATTTCTAAGTTTTTATGAAAATTTAAAAAAACCACAAAAAACACAAAGAACTAGTTTAGATAGTACTTTTCCTCCTCCCACTTTATTCTGAGTTGGGGAAGTCTTACTGCACTGAGGGAATTACTCCGGAAGAGGACAGTACCGTCCGCCTGAAGGAGGTAATATGTCTTTATGTCGCCCTGAAAGAGTAACACATCCCTATTGAATTTCCCAGGCCTGTTCTACCTGCTCATTCAGTGACATGTTTTCAACCCAGTGAAGGAGGGGAGCAAAGAGCAGAGTGTTTGCTAAGCATATACTTAAAATGAGGTTGGATGGAAATTGTACTGAGGAGGAGAAATGAAAGGCTTGTAATGTTTTTTCAGGATAGCTGGTTAAAATTCCAAATGTGTTCTTAGTGTGCTCTAGTCTGAGGGAAACACTTTTATTTGAAAGTTGAAATTCGGAAACCTGCTAGTGGTCAGCTTGTTTTGTGCTCAGTTTTACTCATAGATCCTGTTTTGGAGATATGAATGCATTAGGGTAAACAATGCATTAGGGTAGTTTTACATGTTTAGGTGATTTCTCTTTGCTACTTCTATTGACTTATGCATTTATAGAGAAAAGAGCAGCCCTACTGTTTAATTTCTAAAACCATAGGTATAAAGGATCTTCATGCAGATCATGCTGCAAGTCACATTGGAAAGGCACAAGGCATCGTCACTTGCTTGAGAGCAACGCCATATCATGGTAGCAGAAGGAGGGTGTTCCTCCCCCTGGATATTTGTATGCTGGTAAGGCCGTTGTTTATATGCTTTGTTAATTGACCTCAGGAATATGGGAAGGATGTTATCTCTTGGTTCTCTGCTTAGTCTCTTCAAGTAACTGCTTTGAAATGAATGCATATTTCTTTTTGGCTCCATGGTTATCAAGTGAGAATTTTCACCAGTCAGGCATTTTAGGTCTCTGGTGGAGCTATGACTAAAGAAGTCTGGAGCATCTCACGTGGTGTAGCTTCAGGTTGACACCTTACTCCCTTCCAAGCAGTTACATAATTATTCCTAATGTTCAGCTTAGCCTGCTCTTTTTTATTTTATTTTTTTATTGATTTGAGAGAGAGAGAGAGAGACAGAGAGAGAAAGGAAGGGAAAAGGAAAGGGAAAGGGAAGGAAAAATGATTATTTGTTCCGCTTATTTATGCACTTGGTTGATTCTTATACATGCCCTCACTAGGGGTCAAACCCGCAACTGTATCAGGATGGGGCTCCAACCAACTGAGCTACTCGGCCAGGACCAGCCTGTTTGTTATTTTAAAGGAGAAAGTAATCCTTAAGAAAAGAATATTGTTTATGAGAACTTTTATTTTCTGTATGAGATTCGTTATTGTCTGTACTTTTAAACTTCTTATATGTTTGTTTTCTTGCTCGTGTATTTTTGTCCTACCTGCAATTGTTGTTAATAATTGTCTTGTTGCATGTTCTTCAGAGAGAGAGAGAGAATGTATGTGTGTCTTTACATACACATAGACACAAAGACACATATATGTACACATTTTAAAAAACAAAATAAGCATTATATTGTGCACACTGTTCTCTCACCTGTTTTCTTGAGCTAAGTTAGTTTTAAATATGCTTTTTGATTGCTAATATAATGTGTTTTTCAACACAGCATGGTGTTTCACAAGAGGATTTTCTTCGGAGGAACCAAGATAAAAATGTAAGAGATGTGATATATGACATTGCCAGCCAGGCACACTTGCACCTAAAGCATGTAAGTAGCTTTTCCCCAAAAAAATCATTTAGGAAACTATCATTTCTAGGTGTGGCTATTCCTCGAGCATGGTTATATTCTTCCCTACCTGGCTTCTCTCTGATCATCCACTCTCCATTTCTCTGTCTCAGGAGCAGTGTGTCTTTCTGTTTTGCAAGGCCGATGCCTCTCCTGCCTTCCTAGGACCTTGCATCCTCAGCAGTCCCAGCTGGGGTTTTCAGTTGGCTTCTCTGATAACTTGTCTCTTATCTTCTGCTTTGTTCCTGCTGCTTTGCTTTATTTTCTTATTTTCCCCTCACAGTTAACCTTTTCTGAATAAGTGGTCTGCATTCATTGTTTCCTCAAGGCCCTCACCACCCTGACACTGGTCATCATGCTGTAATCTGGCCTCCATCCTGCCTACTCTAATAGTAATCACTAGTAAATTATCTCCTTTTGCCACATATAAAGAGTGTCTGATTTAAAGAGAGTAGATGTTTGTGTATGTACACACACACACACACACACACACAGAGTGTCTGATTTAGAGAGGGTAGATGTTTGTGTATGTATAAACACACACACACACTCAGAGGTAGAATCAACTAGACTTGATAACTGATTGGATTGTGGCAGGATCAGGAAGAAGAGAAGTTGAAGGCTGTACAGAGTTCAAGTAGAGATGGTGATGGTGCCACTCTGAGACTATAATTAAAAAGCAGTGGTACAGAAGGAGCTGATCTGTAGGCTTGAGACTAGCAGCTGGACGTCATTGAATATAAGGGGATTAGAAGACGTAGGGAGATGGGCTATTGAAGAGTGCAGAATTGTGACTTTGAAAGATCAGAACTGGAGAGAGATTTGGGAGTCATCCACATGGAAGGCTATGGTTCAAGCTATAGGTTTGGATGGTGTTGTCCAAGGAGAATGTCCATTTGGATAAGGACCTAGGGTGGAACCTTGAGGCCCACCTCCATTCCTCAGATAGAAGGAGAAAGGGCCGTTTATTAGGAAGATGATGAAGGAAAGTGATGACAGAAGTAGGAAAACAGAGTCAGTGTTAGAAACCTGGAGGGGAGCAAATTCCAAGTAGGGGCAGAAGTGAAACTGGGCATGCTGCAGGGAGATGAAGAGAAAGGGGAGGGTGAGTAACTCGTGAATGAGTTTGAAGAGAGCAATTTTAGGAGACTGGTAGAGCGGAGGGTAGGGGGTTAAGAGGTGAGTCAGGAAGTGGAGGCGGGATCTGACAATAGAAATGAAGATTGGAAACAGGAGTGGGTTTGGTGAGTTCAGGATGATGGGCATCGGCCTGAGTACATCAGGGCTTCACAGTCCAGAGCAGTAGGGAGGTGAATTAGGTGAGGTCAGTTGAGATGTGGAGGCCTCTGAATTCCAAGATGAATAGTTGAGACTTGATCCATTGGGAACATAAGTTAAAGAAAGCAAAAATAAAACAATGACTTAACAATTTGGCTGGCTGTGTGGAATGAATTAAAGGCTGTGTGGAATGAATTAAAGGCTGAAAGATCAGCTTGGAGGGTCTTATATTCATCTGAACAGGAGATGATGACCATCTAGGCTGGGAGGTGCTGGGACTTGTTAACTCAAGTGTTCCTCCATTTACCCTAACCATGGGACTAGAGGGTCAAAGTTACATGATGTTATAAGGCAGCCGGAAAATGCCAAAGCCAATTTGTGAGAAAGAATAGAAATCTTAATATAGTACTTTTTCCTGGGTCCTTTAGGCTTAAGAAATTAACCATAATCTGCAGGAGATGAGAGCTATTTTTTTTTGCGTTTGAGAGAGGCCCTACGTTTGTTGTTGCTTTGTGTTCACTTTCTGAGGGAGTGTTTATTTCCAGAAATATTTACATTTTAAGCTCGTTTCCCTTTGTCTTCCTTTTTAGGCTCGGTCCTTCCGCAAAAGTGTTCCCGTGAAAGCGTTTCCTGCTTTTCTTCAGACGGTAAGTAGATTAACAGAGAGGCCGTTTAATTGATGAAGCAGATGCGTAAGTCTCTATTGTGTGAGGCTCCCAATGCGGTTCTTTAGTTTGGAGGCGTTATGTTTGTTTCTCTCGCGCGCAGTGTGTTTTGTTGGTTGCATTCTGCTTTTGGTGGTAGCCATACCTGTTTTCCAGAGGCAGGTGAGTGCAGTTGGCAGTAGCACTGACTGCATCGTTTTGAATCGGCTTTGCCGGTTACCAGCTGTGGGAATTTGAGGTCCTTAATCGCCATGGTTCTCAGTATATTCAGAGGTAAAATGGGAATCATGTGAGGCACTATCTTGTAGGGTTTTCAGGCTGCTTACAGCTATAAGAGTGTTACTTATTCTCATAACATTTTCACACAGGTTGTGCTGAAGAACTCTGGGGTTCTGTGCACATGGACTGAGAGCCATGTCTTTAAAATTGTGCAGTGCAAAACTAAGTGGCTTCTCTACTTAATAAGAAAGTTACTGAAATAAAATAATTTATAAATTAGTAAAAGTAAGTGAGAACTATAAAATAAAGAACACTGCCATTGTCAGTGTTTTCTAACCTTGCTCCCCCATCGCAGTGAAAGCTTTGTCAAGTTTCGTGTGATGGGGAACCATGGGTTACATTTGTAGGGACCTGTGAGTGTTCTCCTTGAGTGCAAATCATTTTCTAGCAGAGCATGGAGACCCATTAAACTTTTTGACGATATAATTTTGAAACAAACAGCTTGAGCTCCTCCTTGTGACACAGTGCATTTTGTGGTGGTGGTCATTCCCCTTGACTGAAGCACCCCTTTTGTATTCTACAGTCTAGTAATGAAACCTGGCAAGCAATAATTTCTCTGATCTTTCACATTTTGACCAGAACGGTATAAATTATGATCAGAATTTACTTGATATTTCTAGTACTAACTCTATGATCCTGTTTTACTGGCCTAATAGAAACTTCTTAGAAGATGTCTTTATTTTCTCTCTCCCTTTTAAAATTCTCATTTAAATTCTTAATATGTAGAAGGCCATCTCAGGGAAACTAAAATAGCCTTGATACTTGTAATTTCTCTTTAGTTTCTGTTGAGGACTTAATTGTTCTGTGATCCAGTGCCCATTTTTCCATTTTCCAGGTTGCTCTGGAGGACTATCTAAAGAAAATTCAGCGAGTGAATTTCGATGTATTCCACCCATCTTTACAGCAGAAGAATACATTACTTCCATTATCTTTGTACATTCAGTCATGGAGAAGAAGATATTAAAAATAACTTCATGGCACTGATATTATTTTACTTTTATTACTTTTACAAAGTGTACTAGTTAGGGTCCCTGTTGACAAACAGCAGATACTGTTTACTTAAGGAAAAAATGAACTTGTTGGATGGGTGTGAGTAGCTTACAGAATTGATGAGAAATTACTGTAGGGCTAGGGTGCCAAAACACTGCTGAGATTCTGCCACAGGAACTGTCATTGTCACCACCAGCCCAGACAGTGTCTGCTCTACCATCCCTGTGAAGTCATAGCCTGGGGAGGGAGCATAGCCTTAGTGCTTAGGCTGCAAGCCATGCTTCACCGCCAGAGGGCAGAGAAGAAAGGTCTCCTCCCTTCCTCACCCTTGGAGAAGGGGGCAGGACTCAAGTAGTACTGGCTTTGCAGTTGGAGAGAGCCAGAGCTCAGGGTCCAGTACAGCTGTGAAATGAGTTTATTTAGGGGTTCCAAAGAGTGAAGTTAATACTTGAGGGGTGTCAGTCACTGTGTTGATGGTTTTTTTGGTGTTTTTAAAAAATATTTTTTAATTGATTTCAGAGAGAAGGAAACATGAAAGATGATAGAGTCATTGATCGGCTGCTTCCTGCACACCCCCTGCTGGGGATTGAGCCCACAACCCAGGCATGTGCCCTGACCAGGAATCAACCAAGATCTCCTGGATTCTAGGTTGATTCTCAACTGCTGAGCCATGCTGGCTGGGCTGTTGAGGGTATTTTATTCCTAACATTTCACCTTTACAACCCTGTGAAAATTTATCCGTGATGATAAAAAATAACTTCTTTAAGGTAAGACAGTTGGCTCTCAAGAGCCAGACCCCTAATTTGACTTTAGGTCTGGCTGATTTGAAAGCTTTTACTTTTTTGCTAACCCCACTGCTTCACTCTGTCATTCCACATTATCGTGATCATGAACTAAGTTGTATTCACAAAATGTATTAATGTAAACTATATGAACAGAATTATATTGAACATTCATTAAGGGATACTGCATTTTTTAAAACTTGTATACTAGTTGATCTTCCCTCTGATAAACTCTGGGCTATATACTTTCATCAATGTTCTCATTTGATCTTTAAAACTATATTAAAATATAAAGTGCGCACTAATTGCAAAAACAAAATTGTTTGCATTGCTGGTGATGGCAGATCTGGACTCTGAGTGATCCTCTGACTCCCAAGACCAGGATTATGCCAGTTTCTTTTTCCTGTCTTTTCAGTGATCTGTCTCGTGCCCACTCACATCTCTGCTGTACTGTTCCACTCCCATCTTGCAATCCACACAACCCCATTTTCCCTGTATGTCTCTGGCGTCCCGAGCCCAGGGGAGTGCCTGCGAACACATGAGTGTGGAGTAGACCCTTTAGAGGGTGCCTTTGTTGAAGCCACCCACTGAGTTCTAAACCTTAGTTACTATTTCCATTGGTTTCTTTATATCTTCTATTTCTGTGGTGCTAAGACTTTCTAATTCTTTGCTGAGAGTTTCATGTTTTTCATGTTTCCCACATATTTGTGATTGCTTGTTGAAACATCTTTAAGATGGTTTCTTTAGGATCTTTGACTGTTCTAACATTTCAGTCATGTTAGTGTTGGTGTTGATGATCTTTTCTCTTTCAAGTTGAGATTTTCCTGATTCTTGGTGTGATGAGTGGTTTTTAGTTGGAACTGGGACATTTTGGATATTATGGTATGAGGCTCCGGATCTCACTTAAACCTTCTGCTCTAACTGACTCTTCTGATAGCAGTCTGGCAAGGGAAGGGAGGAGTGCTGCAGCGGGGGTGGACGTCCAGTTGGCCTCTGTTGACTGGAGAGGGAAGAGGCTCCTAGTTACTTCTGGACAGGGGTGGAAATTCTGATCCCACTGGGCATCCACTAACACCCCCAGCTGGGAAGGGCAGGAATGCTTTGTGACTGTTGCCCATGTGGCCTCCACTGACTCCACAGGGAGGGGGCCTTACTGCCTCCGGGTAGTGGGCGAAAGTTCAGACTCCCGTGTGCTCTCCGCCAACACCAAGGGGGCGGGAGCCTTGTTACTGACAGGTTCAGATGACAGTCCAGCTCTATGGCCTTCTCTGATGCCACCTCAGTGTGTGTGTGCGTGCGCACGCAGTGTGGGCTGCAGTTGGGCCCTTTGATACAGCCTAGTGAGACAGGAAGTCCAGGCTCCCACTTCTCTTTTGCTGGCTGGGTGGGAGTAGGACTTTTTCCTGTGATTTCCAGCTGAAGTAAGTGGTTACTGTGTAAAAGTTTTCAGTCATGTTAGGCTGCTCCTTTGGATAGAGAGGATAGGCTTTTGTTAGGAATTTTTCCCTCTGCTTCTCTTGGCATTTCCAGGTTGTCGGCTTCTTCAGTTCCAAGTCTGGGATAGATGAGACTCAAAGAAAACCCAGGGACTCATCGACAGGTTGTGCCTTGGATCCCAAAGTCCCTAGCTTGTCTACCTTCTCATGTCTTATGTGTATTGTCCAGAGTTTTTAGTTGCACTTAGTGGGAGCTTAGTAGAAGAGCACATCTTGTTGGCTTCGTGCTTTTGGAATTGCAGAGATCTGTTCACCACCGGTATGCCAAGTCACCCCTAGAACAGTGTCTGGCACATGGTAGGCACTGAGGAATATTCGGTGACCAACTGAATCCTCACTTACCAATGGTAAAATTTAGGAAGTTAAGTAGTTTCTCCCCGAGTCACACAGCTAGTAACGGGAAGAACTGGGACTTGAACTGGGATCTGATTCCCAAGCTTGAGCTCTCGGAAGCATCACTGGAGCACAGGTGAAATTCAAGGCTGCTTTTGTTTTCTTAGAGCAAAGGAGAGAGGGAGCCCTCACTTGAGACATTGACAAAGTGACAACATGACACTTAACTGGATTAACAATGACCTTGCATTCTGCAATGTTGTCATCTCTCTTTCCTTCCATTTACTGCAAAACCTCTTGCCTGGTGTCCTAATTACTCCTTGATTCCTGTGCAAATGGGACTCTACTCTAGCTTCTGTTCTACAGCAACCTTTTTCAGCCCCGAAGACCAAATGCAGCAGCGTCTTTACAGTTCTCATCCTTCTAAAGTTTTCAGCATAGCTTCCCAATGTTGCTCACTGCTTCCTAAACTCCTCCCAGCTCTTGACCTTCATGATCCCCCAGTTTCTGGGTTTGCCCTTCATCCCACGATGGCTTTCTGTTTCCTCCTCCTATTCGTGTCCTCTGAATGACACAATTCCTCAAGATTCTTCTTTTCTCTCTGTTTTCTACAGTCTCATTCTTGCCTAAGCTCACAGCTCAACAAGGCTGGTAAATGCATCCATCCATCCATTCATTTATTCTTTCACTCACTGTTCATTTGTTGAGTACCTGCTGTGTAACGGGCCCTGTTCTATAGCAAGGAGCAAGGTAAACAGGTGGCTCTTCTCATGGAGCTTATATTCTGGTGGAAGGGACAGAACAAACCAACAAGCAACAAATCAGTTCATTTTGGAGCCACAGAGCATCTCAACAAGATCAATCAAACTTATAAACTTTCATGTGCGTAATCTCAAGTACCTATTAGATTCTAAAATCTAATCCCCCTGCAGGCCCAGAAGCCCTGGAGACAGCCCTTGGTGGTGTGTGAGTCTGCAAGGCCGGCTGACTGGTGGGGGCTGTGCTGGTTAAGTCTGCCTTCAACTGCCACACGATACTAATGCTACCACCTTATATTTATTTGTATGATGGTTTACTTTAAAAATACACTTTCGGCCCTACCTGGTTTAGCTCAGTGGTTAGAGAGTCGGCCTGAGGACTGAAGGGTCCCGAGTTCGATTCCAGCCAAGGGCACGTAGCTCGGTTGCAGGCTTGATCCCTCGCCCCGGTGGGGGTGTGTGTGGGAGGCAACCAGTCGATGTCTCTCTCTCACATGGATGTTTCTCTCTCTCTGTCCCTTCCCCTCTCTCTGAAAAGCAATGGAAAAAATATCCTCAGATGAAGATTAGTAAATAATAGAAATAAAAACGCACTTTCGCATAGTTGGACATCTTCTAAGAACTTTATTTACAAATACCCCAAAGCGGTTTAATATGTTCTTGATGTTACACAATAACTTTGAAACCTGTCCAGCCACATACCAGCTGCAGCGTGGGGCAAGTTACTTTACTTCTATCCCTTCGTTAGCCTTGTCTCCATGGGCTCCTTGAGTCATGAGCCACCTACCACAGTGGGGACTCAACCAGGGCCAGCACCTTGAGGGACCTCTTTCGTAAGGGAAGGGCCTCTGGATCCAGGCAGCTTGGATCTATGTGCTGGCTCTGGTGCTTTCTAGTGTTTGACCCTTAGCAAGTTATTTAACCTCTCTGTGCCTCAATTTTTCACCCATCAAATGGGCTGCTCCCTAAAATTGTCATGAAGATAAAGCAAGTTAATACCTGTAAAGCGCTTGGAAGAGCACCTGGCATTTAATAAATGCTACATGTGGAAAAAAAAATGCTACATGTGTTTGCTGTTGTAATCTATTTATATACATACTCTGTCACTTCCAGAGAAAATTTTTAAAATTCTCCATTATATAAAGTTAGCAAAAAATAAAAGAAAGGGAAAGGAAAGAAAAAAATGAATACATTCCAGCTGATTCGTCTCCACATTGTCAAGGCTGCGTGCAAGTAAATGAAGACAGCCAACCGGGCGAGCCAGACTCCAAAGGCTGAATCCCGGGGCAGTCCCTACTCTTCTTGGCTCCTAATCGGTTCCTGCCTTCCCTCACTCTGTGTAAGGATTAAAGAAGCAATCACAAAACATCCCTGGGATGAGGATTTCCCTAAGAATTAGGTTTAAAAAAAGAGTTCCCCTTCAGGATGCAGTCTGCATACAAAATAGAACTATAGCAAATAGAAGGACAAGGCAAGTGATTAAACATGAAAGCAAGTTTTGCTCCACAGAAGCTGTGATGGAGCTGTGGTGGGTATTTCCCTCTTACAGAAAAGGAAGAAATTATTGGTAGTGAGAAGGAAATGATGTGATTTGCTGAAATGTTTGGGCCAGAGGACTACTCCAT